CTTAAGATATCTAAGAGACTTAAGACAGAAGAAGATACAATTAAATTGAATGATATATATAATAACATTTGGAAAAGTAAACTGCACTTCAAGGAAATAGTAAATAAACATTTTGAAACTACAAGCGACATCATGGAAGGAGAGCATAACATAGCCTATACTAATGCTAGGTGCAAATGGGTGAGCAAAACCGTAAGAAATAATTTAGGAAAGACAGATAAATATGAAATTGGAGAGCATGTGATATGCAGAGTTTATAAAAAAAGAAATGGGGCAGGTGTTTAATGTAAATATTACTTATGAAATTATTAGTATTGATGATTGGAAAGTAGAAATCCAAGATATCAAAAGTAAAACTATATTCATGACAAACACCACGACTTTAGACAAGTACTTTATACATGCGTATTGTGCTACATGTCATTCGTCTCAAGGGGCTTCTCTAGATAAAAGCATTACTATACACGAATGGGATACATCACATTTGGTCAGCCGTGAGTGGATTTGGACAGCGATTACAAGGTGCAGAGATATCAATAAAGTCAAGTTTTTCAAAGCAGACATAGACGATACTGATTTAAATGAAGCACAAGTAACCAGATATTTAGAACATAAAATTAAACAGTATAAATTACAAGACATGAAAGCAGAGAGAGAAATAGACAACAAACAATATATTGATGTCAAATGGTTATTTGACAGGCTTAATACCAGATGTAATAAATGCAGTTCAGATTTTGACATAGAAATAAATAATGGAGTAATAAATAGTAATATGACAGCCCAACGCAAATGCAATCTGTATGCACATGAAAAAGACAACTGCGAAGCGTGGTGCAGATATTGCAATTGTAGTGCTAAATAAATTGGTCTAAAGAAATGATACTTAAGATAAATATAGTTATTATGGGTGAAAATAAGTATAAAAAAGGACAAATTTATAAGATAGTCAGTCCTGATTTCAGTATGTGCTATGTAGGAAGCACTACCGAAGGTTTAAGCAAAGACTTGCGCGACACAAAGCAAGTTATAACTACAAACAAAAATATGGAAAGAACAAATACTGCTCATGCTTCAAACTATTCAATGAATTCGGTGCTGATAATTGTAAAATCTATTGGATTGAGGATTATCCATGCAATAGTAAAAAGGAACTGGAAGCACGAGAGGGGTTTCATATTCAACACATGGAATGTGTAAATACGAATGTGGCCGGACGACCAAGGAGTGAATGGCATAAGGAATACAGAGAGAAAAACAAAGAACGACTGGATGAATATTATAAAGAATGGAGTGAACATAACAAAGAACATTTACAAGAGTATAGAAAAGAATATAGAGAAAACAATATAGAACATATGAAGGAGAAAAGCAAACAATGGCGAGACACACACAAAGAACACAAAAGAGAAACTAATAGATTATACAGAGAGAGAAACAAGGAAATATTGAGGGAGAAGGAGAAAATTCCTTTTAACTGCGGTTGTGGTTCAACTGTTCAAAAAACAGAGAAAGCACGACATGAAAAAACCAAGAAACACCAAGAATGGCTACAACAACAAGAGCAACCAGAACAAGAACCAGAAGAAAATTAAAATATATTCTTTAGTATAATGAGCAATAGTAAAGAAGATATAATTAGAAATGTTTATTATGATAAGGGAGGCTTCGGGTCAAAGAACCGCACTTTACAAGAAGCAAGAAAAAAGGATAACACAATAACTATAAACGATATTAATGAGTTTTTTAGGAAGAATGTAGAACAGAAAGCCAAGCCAAGAGGACATAATTCATTTGTAGCTCCTAACGCATATTATGAGTTTCAAATTGATTTATTTTTCATTAATGATATCCCTAAACAAAAAATGAAAGTTGGCATGACGTGTATTGACATATTTTCTAAGTATATGGTTGTTGTCCCGCTTATGTCAAAACAGCCAGCGGACATGTTAGCAGGACTGATGGAATGTATTAACAAAAATGGATGGAAAACCCAAACTAATTTATATTGACGACGAAGGAGCTTATAACAATCAAAGTGTTATAGATTTCTTGAAGGGTGAAAAAATAGAGTTGCACAGATCCAGAGGACACCCAGCATTTGCGGAGAGGGCAATAAGGACGTTTAAAGATAGCTTGTATAAGAGGGTTGAAAACGATGAGAAAAAAGGAAAGGCTATTCAATGGACAGACTACATACACGAGATTATATTAACTTATAACAATGGAATAAAGCACACTTCGCACGGCTTAACACCGTCAGAAGCAAGAAAGCCTAAACACCAATTAGAAGTGAGTTTAAATTTAGGTATGAAAGCCAAAAGAAATAGAGTTTATCCAGATTTAAATGTAGGAAATGAAGTTAAGATATTCAGGAAAAGGAGACCAAATGAAAAGGAGAGAGTAGGAGTATGGACTAAACAAACCTACAAAATAGCAAAGATTGAAAAGAAGTTAGGACAGGAATATTATTATATTGAAAATTATGACAGGGCATTTTTGAGACATGAGTTATTAAAGGTATAAATTTATTTCTTGTAAAAAAGTATTTAAAGAAATAAAAACTATATATATTATAATAGAAATGGTGGAAACCGAAATCAATAATTATATCAATAAAAAATGCTATGATTGTTGCCACTTTAAAAAAGAAAATATGGAATTATATAAATTGAATTTACCTAATGGAATAGTTAATAATATTATTGATTATTCAATGGATGAAGAAGATGTATGTAGAACGTGTAGAAGATGGAGACGATATCAAAATATAATAGAAAATTGTTTGGCGTTTAGAAATATAGATGAAAGAAATGTTGAAGATGAAATATTGATATTTTTAACTGTGTACGAAAGACCACCTTACGATTATGTTAAACAGTTTCTTAAAATCAGTAAGAAAAAGTATGAAATGATTAATGACATATTATGGATGTTGATTTATTATAGTAAACCCGGCGTTGATGTAAAAAAAGTCATAAAATCATATATTGAAAGTGAACAGTTTAATGTTAAAAATACAGTGAGAGATATTAATCTTATTTTTAAAATGATGTATGAAAGAGGTAAGATATATCAACTAAATTATTATCCTGAACTTAAATTATAATCATAATATAATAATAACATGTAAAGTATTATATGTTATAATTATATTTCAATATGTAATTTTATTTCTTGTAAAAAAGTATTTAAAGAAATAAACACTATATATATTACAGTGGAAATGTTATTAAATTATTCAAAGTGCGAATGTTGTACAACTAAAAGGAATGATGTTAATATAACATTGTATAAGTTATTACCTGCCAATCTGTGTAGTAAAATAAGTGAATATGATGTATATTGTAATCAATGCTGTATAACAAGAGACCTTGAAAAGTTTTTTGTTGAAGAACATAAGGATAAGGGATATACAAAGTTTCAATTACAATTGAAATTCTTTATGAGATATCAAAAAACGATTTCCTGTATGTTTTTACCATAAAATTGCTAGAAAGTCATTTGAAAAAGAAATTGATGAGTTCTTTAATAATAAAGATTTAATTAAGAGGTTTGGAGGGGCAAACGCAGTTAAACCATATAAAGCATTTGTTAAAACATTTCGAGACATGTTTGAAGCGATTGATTGGCATTTATTAAGTAAAGATAAAATAAACGAGGTCTTGAATGAATTTAGAATAACTAAATATCATGTATGGTCTTACTACAACACTAAATATCAAGTATGGCTACTAGTTAATTTGTTTTTCTGGGAATATATTTATTCAATAATAGGAAAATACAATATCAAATATATAGACATTGGTGATATTGATAAATATGTAGATTACATATTTGAAGACATTTTTCCTGACTATAAATGTAACCCATAATTCTTAATCATACTATAATAATAACATTTATACCCTTATATGTTATAATTATAATGTAAGTATAGCGTTTTATATATTGAAGATAAAATCCTACAAGGAGCACCACGCCTAAACAAATATATGATATAAAAGTGATGAAACGAAGGAGGGGAGTGATGTTGTTGCTGTTCTATTTTTTGTCCGAGAAATGGACAAATCGTTTTTAGACAGTTCGATTTTTTTTTGATGACATTTTTTGTTGCAATATATTTTGCAAAATTTATTTTTTTGAAATGGATGAGGTGAGGAGATTGAGGAAATGACATTTTGAAGGGTAGTTGGTGAAATGAATGAGGCGAGGAGAAAGGAGAAAAGGATGGCGAAAATTTTGGAAAAAATATGATTAAAAAAAAAAAAAAACGGATGAGATGGACAGAAAGGAATGTAGAAAAATGATGAAAACGAATAAGGGTAGAAGGTGGAAGATGAAAAAAAATGTAGGGGGGGTGTATGTATGAAAGCAATTTATTGCTAGGCAAGGCCCCCGACTACTAACTCATCCCTCACTCCTATTCGTAAATGTGCCTTAGTTGGTGTTTTTCGGCCCCAAATCGCCCAATACTATGATAGAACTGGCCAAATCTACAGCAAGTCTAAACGAGCAAATCGACCACTGACCCCAACTCGTCATATTGATTAGGGGACAGTAAAACAAATAACAAATAATGAAACAATACTAAATCAGTACTAAACCGAGACTAAACCAATTTTAAACCAATTAGAAACCAGCACAAACAAATGGGAAACATGACATATATAATATATATATACACATAATTATATATATATATACATGTATCGCCCGAAACTGCTGAAATTCGCCACTCGGGAACCGGAAAGGGGGCCGGGACCCCACTTTGAGGAGGACAGTAGCAGAACCTTGCCTGGTGCCCTAAGGCACTCTTTGAACATTGTTCCGCGCGCAGGCGAATATGTTTCTTGGGGCTGCGTATTTATGAGGGGAAGTGATTCCTCGAGGCTGGTTCCGCATGCTTGCAATAATTCCCTGCAATGCAGGGAGCCCATATTTGAGAGATAAGCCATATAGGTGACTCACACAGCAAGCGCTGATGCTCAGGCGCGGGCGATGGTCTCGTACAGGCCCCGCAGGAAAAGGAAGACCTTCCAAAGTAACCACGGCCTCACCATCAATCTTTCCAAATACACGTGTTCTGATCCAAGATATCAGCATACAAGTAAAAACTCACCTCTGCATAGAGAACAAACATAAATGTTGAAAGCACGTTGAAGCTTGCGAATTTACTGTAGTGCCAAAGCCTGAATAATTGAGGGTTGTGCAAAACCTATGTGCCCGCTCCTGTTACTTTTAGCACCTTGCGCTCACCCTTGCGCCTTCTTGCGTGCCCCACACTGCTCAACATCTGCGTTTTGTTTTCGGTTGCACTGCAGCCTTGATGGTCGGCTCAAGTAGGGTTAGGACATGTTAGGCACAGGCTTCTTTTAACTGGAAATCGCCCATGTGGGCAACTGGCGGCATGCCATAGAACTGCCCAGTTAGAACTTGCGCCTAACTTGCGCTAAGCTTGCGCCTGAACCGGGGCCAAAACTTCAGGCAAGCAAGGACAAGCTGCCTACACAAGCAATCAAAGTACCAAAGTAAGTAGACAAGCCGCAGCAAAGGACAGCGGACAAACCACAAGTCCGAGCAAAGGACAGCAAAGGGCGATAAAACACACACGCATGCTTCCAAGTCTTGTCTCGGAAGTTAAGAAAGTGTTAAAGCTCCAGCTCCATAAAACCTTGCGCTCGCCCTTGCGCCTGATTGCGCTCCCCACTTGAAAATGATGCAAAACACAGGTACAGAAACTAGAAAGTCTGATGGGGGTTTTGCACGAACCCCAATTAAGACTGGGATCCCCAAGCAAAGGACAGTTGTGGTGAGCTCGTTATACTCCATCTCATCCATGAGCTCGCTATAACATTGGCAGATCGAACCAAGGATTTCCTTTTTGCCAGCTTCCGTGGAAAAATGATCGACCCCCTAGTGAAGGATGCCTTTTTGAGGGGGGTCGCCAATTCTCTCACAAAAGGCGGCAAAAAAAGACCCCCCCCCTCGATTGAACCCCGAGCCCGAAGACGGCCGCCTGCTTCCTCTTCAGTATCCGCCGCGCTTGGAGCAGCGCCCGCGGGTTGCTGCCAAAGGCGCTCCTCGAGTCGCCGCTTTGGCGGCTGGGGATGGCAACTCACCCATGGAGTTGGTTGGCAACCCAAAAAAGGAACCAAACTTCTAGTGGTTACCACCAACAATCGGTTCCAAGCTTTTACTGTTTAGCAACATGGCTACCAAACCCAAAAAGTGACCTAAAATATGCAATATCGTGGAAGACCCCAGAGGGCCTTTCTCTTTCGCACCATGCGCTCCTGCCCAGACCGAAAGCCCAAGCCAAGTTGCTCGATTTCTTTGCGGTTGGGCACGCACTTCCCACAACACCCCTTTTCCTTGAACTGACATCGGAATGGATGAGTAACCCCATGTCCTCATGGCAGTTTGGTGACCAATATCATCCGCCTGCGGCAGATGGTGAAAATTGACGGACTCGCCCAAATTAACATAGAACCGCCCGAAAAGCATATGGCTGTGGCTCGAAAACATGTGCCAAAATACCTCGGTACATGAAACAAAGACTAAAACCCCAGCTGTTTGATTTTGAGCCACACCTATATAATACTGTGGATGGACAAAATCCTGAACCACCCAAGAAGCCCTACAATGATGACAAATACCAACAAGCAATGGTCTCCCATGGTTTCAAAGTGGTGCGAAATGGATTTTGTAATCAACAGCATTTACAGGAATCTCCTTTTGTGTCCCCATCGTGGCTTCCATGGGCCGCCTTTCCTTGAAGGGTTTTGGACCCCTTGCCTTGAGGGGCGAGGCACCAATTGCGCTTTTTGAGTGAAAGTAGAAATGGAACTCGATGCCACTTTTTTCTTTTTCAATTCCATTCTTGGGGCGAGGGTTCCGGGTTTATTTGCAGGAACCCGGCTATGGCCCCGTGCAAACAAGCTGTTTTTTTCAGGTTGGTGGGGGAAAACATATTCCCGAAAAATCCAAAGTGAAAGACCCCAGCCAATAGCATTTAAGCATAAGCGTCCTGGTCTTTGAAAGGATAGTCATGATGGTGTTCACCGACGTCTTGTCCACATCCTGGCGATGGACGGTCATTTTCAGCTGTGTGTCCAAGCTCCCCGGAGCCAAACACGTATCAACCTTTGGCTGCTTAATGGGAATCACACATACACGCACACACACGCACACACATCCACACGCGCATTTTACTTTCTGCTGGTGAGTGGGAAACAACACACACACAGACACACACACACACAGACACACACAGACACAGACACAGACACAGACACAGTTTCCCAAGAAGTTCAAGGTTCAAAATCCATTGACGCATGTCTCAACATTAACAACGTAAACCCACTTGGCACCTGTTTCATGTTTCTTGGTGGTCTTCAAAGGACATCCACAAAATCAACCATGGTGTGTCTCAAAACAGGGAAACCTCTTAGTGGCTGGTTTCCGGTTGCCCCAACTGGGTCACCTTTCTAGGCCCCCCAAAATTGGCGCGAAACTTCTCCGAACTCGACTTCCAAGATCACAAGTTTATCCTGGGCTGCGCAGCCCCCATTGGAAGAGGCTTTGGTGCTTCGATTTGTCTTCCAAAGTGAGTTCTTCCAGCCGAACCCCATGAGAGGCCCCATGCGGTTGAGGCCCTTCAGAGGCCTTTTGCAGCCGACCAAGACGATGAGCGCTGGTCTCACTTGACTCAATTGAGATCTCCATGACAAGTTTCGAGCGATTCTGACGACCGTCCTTCTCGAATCGGGGAAGGTCTGGAATCCAGGGGGCTGGACTGATCAGAGCCCGATTCAGGCAAAGAAAGTGTTGTTTTTTGCTTGTCCCATGACTCGCCAAAGTCCAAACAAGGGCGCGAATTGACTTGTGGTTCGATGGCCGAATAGCTTATTGCGTGGACTGCTTTTTGACCACCTTGTTTTTTCCATCCGGCTGGCAGCTCCGCTCTTTTGAGCGGCAGCTCGCAATTGGCTTGATATAGTCGACGCCCGACAAATCGTCAGTACAAGGCTGGGTAAAAACAAAACACGTGATACCATTCCTCCCTGGCTGCTTGCATCATAGGCATCAACCATCCAGTCGGATTCGGATGCGATAAAATAATGTGCGCCATTGGCAGCACCTAGCGACGGGGCTTCGTGACTGATCAGAAGATCCGAGGCAGGAGCCTTAATCAACCAAGGGTTCTTAAGTTTGACGCTCTATTCGTTGCTTCCACCTTTGCGAATGAACATTGCCCCCCCCCCCCCAAAAAAAAAAAAGAATAGAAGGAGAAACAAGCACACTGTTGTTTGAAGACGTGTTAAATGGGAGGTGGGTCTTCACAAATTCGCCACACACATCGTCCAGTCTCATTTTTTTTTCAGGTGCTTAAGACTTACGTGCCTGCAGAAGCATTCAAAGGATGTTCAGGAACCCAACCCGACGCTTGGCTTATCGTCCCGTAGAGCATCACCCTCGAGAGTTGCAAAGGGCGAAGCGGCCGGGTTGATACACCACCCGTCCCTCAAAGGGTTTAGTTATAGGAAAATCTACAGGAATTTGCCCAAAATACCCTAAATAAGCTGTTTTCTTGTAGAATTTCCTGTAACCCCACCCTTTGAATCCCAGGTGCCAAGCGGATCTTGTCCATATATCTCAGCCGCGCGCCCCCAAACATCACATGAGTCATAATCACAACCCGGTATTAAAACGGTCTACCCAGCACCAATGTAAGGAACTACAAAGGCGGCCGCAGCTATTTGTGGCTGGGATTCTCCCTTGCTAACCTTCACTTACCGGGGTTTTGATGGTGGCTCACATGTTTAGATGATGGTTCCACCTTTCGTGAACCTCAACATGTGCAACAGATTTCAAGGCTGCTTTCTTCTGGGCTGGGAGATTGCCAACCGCAACACTGGCTGCATGCAACACATATGCTGTGGCACCAGTACTGCCCTAATAAAGGCCTCATCATCTGAAAAACCAACCGCACCCGGCAACAAGGTACTTACACTTTAACTTACTCCGGAAAGCCCCGCAATTTGATAGTAGAACTGAGCCCCATTCACGCCTACTCACCTCAGCTTTTGCCGCCAAGTGAAACTCATTCAGCCCCAATGTGAACCCTGAGATATGAGTCGAACCATCGCACCTCGGGATCTTCCGGTTTTGCGGCGAGCACTTTCTGCTTGGCGCCTTTTAGCGCCCAGTTCTTCGATCTCAAACCGGTCACTTGGGAGGCGAGCGGGCGGTCTTCGCGGCGAACCACACGCTGGAGATGGCAAAGGAGGAAAGGCATAGCTGCAGAATAGCGTAGGTGTTCCTCCATGCAGAGATGGTCTGATTTTTTACGACTTTATGGTGAAACTCCGTATGGGTTTGCCCCATTAGGAGGCTCATGACTATGGCTTCCCATAACGGTCGTTGGTGTTTACGTTTGGGAAGCGAATCAGAAACCGTTGGGGTTCTGAACGGTGGAGCCAGACGCGGATTCATTGCAACCATCCATACCGCCATTTGCTTTAACTCTCTCAAAAAAACAAAAACAAACATACAATAGTGATAGATATCCTCTAAAACCAACACGGGAAAACAAACAATATTAGGCAAATGTATGCGTCCATGTATGAACCCCTATAGGGGTTCATACCTAGTATGAACCCCTGGTATGAACCCCTAGTTTATGGGTTAATTAATCGCTAGTTCTGGCTTACTTATGGGACATCAGCCCCGAACTAGCATCCAAAATTAATTCTCATGGGGTGGATGGCAAAATGCAAACGAATCTCTTCAACGCCCAATAGCGATAGATCCCCGCTAAAACCAACAGGGAAAAATGCAAGCTATCAAGCAAATTTAAGCACGGTGTGGCAAAACGAATCTGCTCAGGTTCCCCAACCAAAAAGACAGCCAAAAATATGGCAAAACGGGAAACCGGCCTTTGTGGGCTTCCTCTACCAAAGAGACAGCCAAACCTATAGCAGTGGCTCAAAAAAGTGGTACCAAAGTGGCACCTTGGTAAATGGAGCCAAAGACAAAAACCCGCGTAACCCCAGCTCTTTAACTTTGGAGCCAAAACCCGGTATTAAAATGGTCTACCCAGAAGCATGTAAGAATTAAGAAGTCGACCGCAGCTATTCATGGTTGGGATTGGCCCTTGCTAACCTCATCTACCCGGGTTTCCTCCACTGGGCTGTCCTCAGATCCCCCGCTAAAAGCTTAACTTTTCGTGGGATAAAATGGAACTCCCCGCTAAACACTAAAAGCTAAAAAAGCTAAGAAACCGGATGGCTGGGAGCCATCAAGTCTACAAAGAGACAGCCAAACTTACACCGCTTGGAAACCATGGGAAACCCTTGTTTGCTGGTATTTACCAGGAAATCATCCTAAACCAGGGTTTCTGAACGGTGGTGCGAAATGGATTTCGTCCATCCACGGTATGGCCGGACTTTGTTCAAAGGGAAACCAAAACGAAAACCACCATTTTGGGGTTGTCCGCTAAAGACACAGCCACGTTTCCGGAAAACCAACAATCAGCACCACCTATAGAACCTATTGTTAGTGGAGATTGGGATGTCACTGGGGGTACGATTTGGATTTTGACCCATGGCCCCGTTTTTTTTGCCTTGATCTTCTTGTCTCCTTTTCACAATCCAGGTGTTTCCGGTTTTCGCTCTTAGTATGTATCTTTTCCGCTCTTAGTCTTTAACTTTCCGTTCTTTTGCACTCTTCAGCGGCCATGGCCATTCGTCACTCCTGCCGCACTGCTCGATGATCCAGCGCGCCAGCGGCGGTCCCAGGGCCCTCGGCATCTGGATCGCCAGGTTCCGGGCCACCAGGTAGTTCCTCGAGGAGGCCGTGGCCGTGGCCGTTGGGTTTAAAGGTTTCCCTTTAAATGGAATCCGGGTTTTAAAAAGTGGACGCCAAAAAAAAGTGTTTGTTTCTAGGTGAATAAAGAATGGATCCCAACAAGTTACGGTTTTTCTAGGTTGGACCCCGAAAAAATGTGTTTTTTTAGGTTGGACCCCAAAAAATATATGGTTTTTCCAAGGTTGGACGCCAAACCTTTACCCAGAGGCTCCTGGCTTCGGCTTCCAAGGGAAGACCCAGACCCTCCATTGGACACCCCGGAGTTGTGTGGGACCCGGTCTCAAAACCTGGATGTTTGAGGGCCCTAAATCCATCGGGAGCCTGTGGGTAAATGGAATCCGGTTAAACAAAAAATGCATCCCAACACATTATGGTTTTTCTATGTTAAACCCCCCCAAAAATAATTGCTTTTCTAGGTTGGACCCCCAAAAATTAGGGTCTTTCTAGGTTGGACGCCAAAAAGCTATGGTTGTTCTATGTTGGACCCAAAAAAACATGTTTTCTATGTTGGACCCCAAACAATATGGTTTTCCTTTAAAACCTACCAGCAAAGGGTGATTCTTTTAAAATGAGGCGATCCCAAAAACTGTGGTTGTCCTCTTGGTGTCCCTTTAACACCTACCAAAAAGAGTAATCCCCAACGCAAAAAGACACACCTATTCCCTTTCAGAAGACCAGAGTCTCGGAGAAAAGAAGAGAAGCACCCCTCCGGGTCGCAAGGGCGGTTCCCAATTCTTGGGACAGGTGCAAGGAAGCTTTTCAAGTGTTACCCTTCCTCCAACAAACACGGGACTTAATTATCTGAGGGTACCTGGAAGACCAGTTTCCGTTTAGAGGGAATGCCCTGTCAGGCGTTTTTATCAATGATTGAAACATGTTTAGGTTCCCTAACATTTGGAACATGTCTAAAGCTCCCCAAGTTTTGCGACATGTCTGGAGGGGGTTCCCGTGCTTTTTGTTTGTTAGTTTTTGTTACTCTCTCCGGGAACTCAGCAATTGGAAGATTTCTAGCCGCGATGTTCCGGAAGGAGAAAAACCCTACGGACTGCCTCGGCTGAGGAAAGCCACGCTAGATGCTAGCTGAGGAGAAAACCCCAGGGCTCATGGTTTCAGTCAACAAACACGCCCCATGTGCAATAACCCCCATCCCCAACCATGAAATCGCTCCACGAGTGCACTCGATGGCTCTCGCGATGTCCCGTTTGGAGACA